ATGCGAACAATCCTAAGAAGAAAGTTCAGCCTCCTACCACCGCGGGCCAGTCTGATGAGCCAGCTATGGTAGCTGCTGAGGCAGTTGATGTTCCATCCACTTCAGCCGAGCCTTCCTCCAGTGCCGCAACTATGCCTCCGTCCTCCTCTACGGCGCCTACTATAGCTCCTACCACAGCTCCCACCTTGGCTTTGAAGCCAGTGCCCATGCCTCCTCATCCACTATCTATTCTACGAGTCTCCCAGACATTGGCGAGTCTCAACAACTGGATGCAGACAACCACTGTAAAAGTTGTCTGACTTGTCCAATACTATTGCAGCGCAGTCCACCTCATAGGCATCTCAGGTTCCTGCTGACCTTGAGGAGACACTAAAGAAAATTCAGGAGAACCAGAAGGCTATTATGGACACTTCGGTAAAACATGAGTCAGTGATTGAAGAGCTGGGAAAAGAAGTCAAGAAGATGAGAAAGTCCCAAGCCAGCAAGAAGTCAGTGGACAAGCTTCAGAAACAGGTGATCAGGCTTGCTATAGGCGGAGATCTCCCCTTTGACATGTTGATTGATCCACACCATTCAGTCCCAGATCCTACAACACCATCTGCACCGATGGCACTAGCTGGCCAGTCTGAAGAGCCAGACCTTACTGCCAACACTGTTGAGGCAGTGCATCAGATGTTTACCAACCCAACCACACCTAGAGTTGAGGATGATGAGTTTCAGTTGGATGAGCCCGAGGGCGATGATATTGCTGAGGACACAGAGATGTCCAAGGAGCCATAGGGGGTTTTCTTCACTCTTTCCCCTCTTTCACTCTTATTTTTGTTAAGCATTAGGGATAATGCTTATGTTTATTCGGGAGGGGGGAGGGGTGGAGTTTATTGATTATATTTGATACTTTCTGAGACGTTTGGCCTGTAATAACTTGATAATATTCTGTCTTTTCCTATTTGTATGTATATATCTTCTCTCTCTTACTATGTATATTCATTTTATTCTTAGTAGTTTTGTTCATCAGCTTCTTTATCTTTATTTTTGCTTATTAGCTTCTTTTTTATATTTTAGTAGTGTATTAGCTCTTTCTTTGTTTAGTAGCTTCTTTTTATGTTTTAGTAGATAATAAGCCTTTGGTTTTCTTAATGCCATGGTTCTTCCAAAGGTAATTTTCGTGTGAACCGGGTGACTCGTCCCAACAATGGATGGTGTGACAACCTTCTTAAAGGAATGAGTCAATTTTTTGTGTTTAGGTAACAATAGTAGTAGTAATGAATAAAAAGACCTAATTAAGTCATGCTCGAAGAGTCAACCATGCTTCAATTGGCACCAACACACTTAACTACGTGCTTATGGTTAGAAACAAGATTTTTGAAAGAAATAGCTCTAGTTAGTGACTTTGTCACTCTTGTGTTGACTTTGGCAATAATCAAGTGGTTTAATTGGACCATAGTGATTTTTAAACTTGAATGTGGCCGTTGTGGGCCCTTGACTCTATCCTCTTTTACAATCCGGTTGCGTGAGGGGTGAGATGAGTTGTTGTTAGTCCAAGTGTCCGCGCGAAGATTCTAGAACTTGCCCCGAAAGTGTTTCAAGGCGAAATCCTAAGTTTTGCTTGGTTTGAGAAGTGATTGTAGGCTCTCTTTAGCCCTTTTGAGTTTTGTGTTGCCAACCAATGTCTTTATCCCTAGTCAACCCCTTTGAGCCTCTAGCTTTTCTCATTTGATAGCCATGTTACAAGCTTTTACCCATTTTGTCGTTCACCCTCTCTTGTTACCTGATATTTCCATAACACTCGTGTGAAACAAATGGCTTAAAACGTAAGTTTGGGGGAGAGATAAGGAACTTGAAAAAGGTATCATGGCTAAAAAAGAGAAAATAAGTGATCTTTATGAGAAGAGAAGGCAAGAAAAAGAAAAGAACAAAAAGAAAAATGCAAAAAGTGAATAAGTAGAAAGGTTGAATGGATCCCAAAAGAGGTAATGATCCCAAGCATTGAGAAATCAAAAGGGAGAAAAAGAATGAAATGTACAAGAAAGAGTGATGCTAAGTCTCTCTAGTCCCCAATGAAAAGAAAGTGCTTCTAAAGAATTGGCAAAGTGTGAGCCGAGAAATGAAAAATGGAGTGCTTATGGAAAGGCGTAAACACGTACCTATACGGTATCCTACCCTAACCCAAAAACCTTAATTATATCCCGAAAGAAGTCCTACTTGATTTCAAACTGAGTGAGCTTACATTAGTGGCGATCTATATGAGGGGCAAGCATATGGTACTTGAAGTCGTACTTGTGACATTCTCTTGAGAGAAATGAGTGAAGCTTTTATAAATCTTTGGATTGAGTGCTAAATTTCTTAAGTGATCTTGGAAAATAGAAAGTAGAGGAGGAAGAGTTTGGAGTCCACCATAGCCTACATGATAGAGCAAAAGTCCTTGATGAGTAAAGTCAATTATTGAAGCTCAAATGTCACATTAGAACTATATGTGCATGAATATTTAACTTGTCCCCTTGTTGATACCCAATTTTTCCCTATAACATTTTTTGAAATGCATATATACCTTTAAAACTATGCATTAGCATCAATGGGTATTTTCCCATAATTTTACATCTTTAAATTAATTTATTTTCTTCATATAAATAATTATAAAATTGCATCACAAATGAATTTAGAACATGTCTTGATTTAATATTACTATTATGGTCCTATGGAGTCCAAATTATTTCATAAATAGCCAAATTGGTACCTTTTGGCTATCATTGCAAAAACTTTGCAATTATAGCCCATGCGTACATTTTTGTATTATTTTACCAGAAATTAGTCATTTTTATTTTTAAATACTAAATAACTATTTTTAAAACATTTCTATGCATGAAATTCATTTTTTATAATTAGAAATTATTTTACAAATTATTTTTAATCAATTGTTTGGGGTATTTAATAAATAGCCTCTCTTATTTCAATTTTAGCCTAAAATTAACCAACCCAACACCCTTATAAACCAGCCCAAAAACCCCAGGCCCAATACCCACCTGCCTGACCCAATACCCGGGCAAATCCTTGTCGTTGATCATTGTGATCAACGGTCCTGATCTCCCCTTACCTAAATTAAACTTACCTACACCCCCCAATCCCTAATCATTTCCCACCCTTCCCCGTCGTCATCTGTTCCTCTCCTCTCTCAAATGCTCTCGACCTAAACCCTAAATCTCCAAACGCCGTCACTCATCCACCGTCGTCCATGGTAGTTTCTCACCACCCCAGGCTTCTAACGGCCTCCCCTATGCTGGGTACTTCCATCTCTAAGGTCCTCAAGGGACCAGGGTTAGTCCGCTTACGCCTTTGGTTCTTTTTTGCCTATTTCAGGCCATTCTAGTTTGATTTCAAGTAAGGATTTCTTATTTTCATCTTGAACCTATGGATTTCTAAGTCTATATTCACATCTCTAAGTTACTTCTGAAAAACCCTAATCTTTATCTTTGATCTTCTCAGATCTATACAGATCTGAGATCAATCGAACCTATCTCACATGTTTCCTTGAAAGATTTCAACTAATTTTTCGTTTTTCTAAAGTTAGTTACTGAAAGTCATCTTCGCAAAGGTTTCCTGATTTTTGAATGTTTGATCGTCTGTCCTTATGTGCTGTTGACCGATTCATGTTAAGTTTGCCTAAACCCTAGTCCATTTATGCTAAAATCCTAATTTTCTTATATTTTGCTTCGATTCTAGGTTTTTTTGTATTACTTGTTGCATTGTTTCGTTCTCGACTCTGGGCACAATACTCAGGTTATATTTGCAACGTCCGCATTGTCCTTTTTATAAGGCATAGTTGGGCGTGATCACTTGCCGCCAAAGGTACGAACCTATCATATATCCCACCGGTGATACAGGATGGCGAAGTAGTTGTACAACTACTGGAAGAAGACATTGCTGAGGAGCAACAGAAATGGAACCGAGCTATAATCCTCTATGTGGTAGGAAACACTCCAACAATTGGGGCGATTGAGCGATTCATAGCAAACCAGTGGAGTAAAGTCAGAAAACCAAAGGTGTTGTTTCACAGTGATGGGTATTTCATAGTTTTGATGAACAGCTGTGAAGAAAGAGATGAAGTAATATTGAATGGACCGTACACTATGAACAGTAGACCAATTATCATGCGACCATGGAAGGAGGGATTTGATTTTAGTGAGGAGATACTCAAAACCATCCCTCTATGGGTAAAATTCCCTAAATTACCACTTAGCTACTGGAGTAATCAAGCATTAAGTAAAATAGGGAGTGGCTTAGGAAAGCCTCTATATGTTGATGCATGTACTACCATGGCAGATAGAGTCTCGTATGCAAGGATGTTAATAGAAATGGACATTACTAGACCCTTACCAGGATCAATAAAACTTCATGATGGTGATTGAGCAGATAGTACAATATGACTGGAAGCCCTAATATTGCCAAATATGCTGTCAAATTGGCTACTCATGTAATGGTCAACAGAGACAGAACAAAGAGGATGGACAACAGAGAGGCAATAATCAAAAGCTAAAGCAAGAATGGAGAATAACAAGGGTCCTTGATCCAAAGGTGGACAGAATTGATGCTCATGGAAGATTTCTGGAACAACTTGAACCAGATGGAGAAGCTATGCCTAGTCAACAAGGAAATGATGAAGAATGGCAGGTTGCTAGAGGAAAATCAGCATTAAAAAATCAAATGGAAAACAACAGAGAGGATGAAGTATACATTGGAAATGCCTTTAAAGCCTTAGTTGACACTGCTCAAAAAATTGTGCAACTGTCTGAAACACAGGGGACAAGAGGGCAGAGAAGAAGTAATGAAGGTGATGTGGATCCCAAAATAAATACAATAGCATGATGAATATTATAACATGGAATGTTAGGGGTATGAATAAAGTCGATAAGAAAAAAACACTAAAAAATTTCTGTAGGGAGAATAATGTAGTATTAATAGCTATACTGGAGAATAGAGTCAAGGCTAATAAAGCTGAAGCAATAATGAGGAAGGTGTTTGGCAATTGGCAACGGACTGCTAACTATGATGAGGCACCTGGGGGCAGGATTTGGGTTATTTGGGACCAAACAAAGGTGGAGTTTGAGGTAAAACAAGTCCATGAACAATACATAGCAGGACAGGTGGTGTTGAGACAATGCAACAACAAGTTCATATTTGTTGCAGTATATGGAAAACATAGCATACATGACAGGAAGAGTTTGTGTACTGACTTGGAAGGAACTATGAGTGAAATGACCCAAGCTTAATAATGGGAGACTTTAATAGTATTTTGTCCATAGAAGATAGAGTGATGGGGAATCCAGTACAAGAAGGGGAAGTGACAGACTTCAAAAAATTCATTGCTGATGTTGGACTAGCTGAACTCAAAACAATTGGGAGGGAATACACCTGGACAAACAACATGTCCATAGCAGAATAAATAGAATACTTGCAAATGCAGAGTGGATACAAAAATGGCCTAATATGGAGGGAACTATTATGCAACCAGGTTTTTCAGATCACTGCCCTCTAATGGTAACTGTGGCTGAGCCTACTGGGATGGGAAAGAGACCGTTCAAATTCTTTAACTGCTTAGCAACTCACCCTAAATTTGATGATATAGTCAGTCAATGTTGGATGAAGAGAAGTAGAGGAAATCTAATGCTGAAGGTGTGGTACAAACTAAAAAATCTGAAAAAAGATCTGAAGCAATTAAACAATGAGGAGTACAGCAGTGTGGGGCCAAAGATCCAAGCAGCAAGGAACAAATTGATGAACATACAAATCGGAATGGCATATCCAAAAAATGATGATGAAGTGATAGCACTAGAGACGGAGACAAAAGTTGAACTGGCAAAATGGCTGGAACTGGAGGAAAGTATTATAAAGTAGAAGGCAAGAATCAAATGGCTTAAAGTAGGGGACTCTAACACAGCTTATTTTCATGCCTGTGGTAAAAGCAGGCAGGCAAGAAACCACATAGGCAGACTGATGGACAACACAAGACAACTTCTACAAAATGCTAATGAAGTAGAGGAGGAGATCCTAAGCTTCTACAAAAAGCTACTTGGTACAGCAGCCTCAACATTACCAATAGTTGATCCAAATGTTATGCAGAATGGACACACTCTGACTAGGCAGCAACAAATGCAGTTAATCAAACCAATTACAAAAGAGGAAGTGCATAAAGCACTACAGGGAATTGATGATAGCAAGGTACCAGGATGTGATGGATATAACTCCCATTTTTTCAAGAAGACATGGAACATACTTGGAGAGGAAGTTACTAAAGCAGTGCTGGAGTTCTTTGAAACTACCGAAATGTGCAAAGCTATAAATTGTACAACTATCACTCTGATCCCTAAAGTAAAGAATCCTACCAACATCAAGGAGTTCAGGCCTATCTCTTGCTGCACAGTTCTATACAAGATGATATCAAAGATTTTAACTGCAAGGCTACAGGAAATCATGCCAGACCTCATAGATAACTGCCAACAACTTTTGTACCAGGAAGGATGATTACTGATAACATCATCATGGGCCATGAATTGATCAAAGGATATGGAAGAAGGAGCATATCACCTAGATGTATGCTTAAAATTGATATGCAAAAAGCATATGATTCAGTGGAATGGATATATATTGAACAAGTGATGAAGCTACTGGGGTTCCCTGAGAAGTTTGTTAGATGGATAATGGAGTGCATAAGTACAGTAGCCTATACTGTAGTAATCAATGGACAACCAACAAAACCTTTTGAGGCAAAATAGGGACTTAGGCAGGGTGACCCTTTGTCGCCAGTTCTGTTTGTGATGGCAATGGAATATCTGAGTAGGCTGCTGAAGTCCTTAAAGCAGGGAAAAGAATTCAAATACCACCCTAAGTGTGCTAAAGTCAATTTAGTACACTTAGGTTTTGCTGACGATTTGTTACTTTTTTTAGAGGAGACATAAAATCAGTACTGTTATTACACCAACAATTCAAAACTTTCTCTGGAGCATCAGGGCTAATAGCAAATCCAAACAAGAGCTGCATATACTTTGGTGGGGTGGATATCATGACTCAAAAGAAAATCATGGACATGTTGGGATATAGTAAGGGAGAACTACCCTTCAGATATCTAGGGGTACCACTGAGCACCAAGAAGCTATCAATAATCCAATGTGAGCCTCTAATCGATCGAATGCTGAGTAGAATACAATGCTGGACAACAAAGTTTCTATCCTATGCTGGAAGAGAAGTGTTAATCAAGAGTGTATTAGTTGCAATCCAAAACTTCTGGGCTCAGATTTTCATCCTACCTAAGAAGATCATTCAGTTCATCAACATTATATGCAGAAGATTTTTATGGTCAGGCAATGCAGAACCTACAAAGAAGGCACTAATTGCATAGGAGAAACTATGCTGGCGAAAGGTAGCAGGTGGCTTAAACTTCATCAATGTGGAGCTATGGAATAAAACAGCTATATGTAAGCTACTATGGAATATATGCAAAAAGAAAGACAGGCTCTGGGTCCAATGGGTCAATATATATTACATAAAGGGGAAACCAATATGGAACACAACACCAAGGAATGCATCATGGGTCATACAGCAGATCTTCAAGGCAAGGAAGTATTTTGACAATGCTGGATATACAGAGGATGAGGTGAAGAGGATGGAAAGGTTCTCTATAAAGCACATGTACAAAGCCATGCAAGGGGAATTTCAGAAAGTACCATGGAGGAAATTAATCTGCAACAACTATGGATTACCAAAGTGGAAGTTCATTTTAAGATTGGCAATACAGGAAAGGCTAGCCACAAAAGAAAGGCTAGCAAGATGGGGGATACAGATTGATACCACATGCTCACTATGTCAAAAAGAGACTGAAACAGTGCGGCACCTATTTTTTGAATGTGAGGTGACAGCAACCATAGCGCAGCAACTCTTAAAATGGCAAGGAATCCAAAGAACAAAGTTAGGCTGGAAGGAAGAACTGGCATGGATAGAAAGAAGAGCTAAATGTAGAAGTGGAGGAGCAGAAATATGCAGAATGTCCTTAGCAGCAGCAGTTTATCATATCTGGCAAGAGAGGAATAATGTTATATTCCAACAGAAGAATAGACCAGCTAAAGCCATAATCAAATTAATCATCCAGGAAATTCATGTTAGAGCTACCATGTTCCCTAGGCTAGTAAGGACGATGAGCACTTTGAATTGGTACCCTGATGTAATGTAACAATACAAATCATAGGGAAGGAGAAGATTAGGAAGGGTAGTAAAATCCTAACTGGGGCTGCATGTCCAGTGGGAGTATAGAAAGCAGGAAGTTCAGTTTTTCGCTATGCTGTAAATATTTACACTTGATAAATAAAATCATTTAATTACAAAAAAAAAAAAAAGAATTGTATAAGTACTTTCCACCCCATTAGCGTATCAAACTTTACTTATTATGTTTTGTCACTATTTCCTTTTTTAATATATTTTGAAAAATAACATATTTTAAATTTATTATTTTACTTTTAATAATAATCTTTATAGTCATAGAATTTTCATGATAGATTTAAATTCATAATTTTCAAAAGCTTTTCTTTTTTCCTTCTAAAAACACTCTTTATTGTTCAAACTCTACCGCATGAATTAATGTAACGAAGGGAGTACTTATGTGATAGAAGTAATTAAACAGACATAAATTTGTTCAACAACATAAGGTCCCCTAATTAATAAGAAACGTATAAAAAGTTGTACCACATTGTATTGTCAGATTGAGAGGTCTAATTGTCAGAGAGAACTTTTACAAGATAAGTCTGCTCATAAATTAAAACAAAAAATTCTTTTTTATTTAGATGCATAATTGTGATTTTGGTTCCTTAATAATTACTACTCTGCTAATCGACTTTAATTTTCCAAGTTTGTCAAATTTGACCAAATACAATAAATTAACTTTTCCTTCCACATAAAACTGCCAAATAACAGAAGATTTGCACTATGGGACATCAAATTTTAATTTCCACCGTCTTAACCACCTTTTGCACCAAATTAAGGAATAAAAACCATCTTTAAGCATAAGTGACGACGCATCACATAGTTTAACAATTAAAAAATGTAATAACATTTATGAATATGTTATTACTAATAGAGAGGTCAATGAGTCGTATTAATTCACACTTTAGAATGAAGTTCGCTTTTTCCCTCGTCTATAGAAGTTTGAATTTTTTTATATTTTGCTACTCATGTTTCTAATTTTTGTAGTTATTCTCATAGGCGGTCCAGATTTTAGTATATACTTACAAATTCTATACTGTCCACTCGAAAGACTACTACTCTAACTTTAATCCGTGAGCTCCTCTATTATATTCCTTTAACATTTCCTTCACCTTTTTCTCTATTTATTTGGTTCATGAAAAAAACAAAACATTTTTTTATATTATCAGTAGTGGTGACAAAATGTTTAAAAAAAATAGTTATTCACCCATATTACTCATCAAAAATGCGTTGAATAATGAATTTTTTAAAAACGGGTCAAATATGGATAAGAACCATATTATCCACTTAGAAAACAGATAGCCAATGGATAACTAATGGGTTGAAATTTTACATTTGTAAAGCCTCAAATTGGAGGTTGCTCAAGTTTGAGAGACTAGGAATTCTCTCAAAAGTGATTATATTCAAGAAGTCATGGATAATATAAACATCCATATTATCCGTCAGTTACCATTTTTTATTTGTACTAAATATGGGTGTTGCAATTTATTCGCTTTTACATTACCCGTTTTCGACCCGGCATATCTGACCGACCTGCTCGTTTGCCCCCCTAATTATCAACCAAGATTTGTAATTATTGAGCTGCACCCTAATGTAATTCTACTCGAAAGAGTCAGAAAAAGAACCAAAAAGAAAAGGAAAAACAAAAGAATTTGCATTTTGTTTTCATATTTCCGATATTGTTGAACATTAATTCCTGCCTGCACTTCTGGTCTGAAACGTGGCGTGTAAGTAACAGTGTAAGATAGTTTGAGAAAAAAGTGCAAAAAAGATAGAAGAGAGAAAGTTGAGATCTTCACATCAACTGTTCATGGTGTCTTTACTCTTTCAGAATTTAAATGATTTTGTGGGCTTGAAAAGATTTGTAGCCGCCTCCATTTAGTGAACGAATTGGACTGTAAAATTGCACAACGGAGCATCACTTTCATTCATTATCTGTTATTTTAAAATACAACATCAATTTATTACATTTAATGCAATAATAACTAGATGCAAATATTCATATTTTGAAAGTTAAAGCTAGTATTTCACTGTTAGGAGTAAATTAATTATATGAATTTTCTTAACAATCTTCCTGGGAAGTGGGAACTCTTGTTTAAATTTGCTGAAGCTTGAAGCCTCAAATTTCTAAAACAAGCTGTACACATTTAAGCAATTTCAAAAGCTCTACATCTTGCCCTGCCTTGTTCTAGCCCATCAAATTTTTTTCAAAAATAATATTTTGCCCTATCCCGCCCCGTCCCACCCTATTTAGATCTTTACCTGCCCCGCTCCATTAAGAGTTTGCCCTGCCCCCGCCCGCCTCAATTGCCATCCCAAATTGTAGAAGTTAAAGAATTTTGGATTTCCTACAGTAGTCTCGACATATACTACACAAATTTTCTTTGCTTTTTTGGGATCAATGTTTTATATTTTGGACATGTTTTATTTATTTGCACTCAAAATTTATATGCATCAAATATTATACTCCATCTTTCTTAAAACATCCATCTAGAATTTAAAAATGGTTATCTCAAATTTTTTATCATTTTAGAAGTTTAAGACAAATTTAATTATTTTTTTCTATTTTATCGTTAGTAAGTAATTATTCTTGAAGAATACAAACACCTCAATTATGGGATAATACTATACTTGTTCAAAAAACTTTTAAAGTTATAAAATATTTCTTTTTGAATTTTCCAAAAAAAAAAATTCGAATTCCTTAAAAATGGGCTCAGAAAACAATTATAGAAAAGACATAAGGAAGGATAAAATAGTAAGAAAAATATCTCCTAATCATTATTTTCGGAAGGGCGTATAAAAAAAAACGCAACAGATAGACGGAGAGAATATGTTTCATTTATACGCACATTTATCAATTCATCTGGGTTAAGTGAAGACGTGTATTATCACTTTAAATTTTAGACAAAAAGGCCTCGTAGCCACTTGAACTTGGACCGATTTTTTATCCCGGCGAATAAATTTAAGGAAGTCCCATTTTAACACCTCAACTCGATAGAATGAGTATTAATAAACACTTTCTCAATGCGCGTTGCTCAATTGCGCTGATGTGTTATACACATCAGCGTCCACATCAGATAGATATATTTATTTTTACTTTACATAATAAAGAACTCCAAATTCAACCCCCCTCCTCCTCCCTCCCCCCCTCCCAAACTAAAAAAATCCTGCGGGCTTCCATCACCCCTTATGCAGCTCTCTATGAAATTGCCATTGCTGCTACAAATTGTAGCTATTATTTCAACTTCTATAATTTGAGTATTTCTAGACAG